TCAGCTGGATGAGAGTTTGGGTTATGAGGAGGAGCCAGTTGCCATTGTTGATAGACAGGATCATCAGTTAAGATCCAAGAGGATTTCAACGGTGAAGGTCCAGTGGAGGGGCCAACTAGTCGAGAAGGCGACCTGGGAGTCCGAGGAGGACATACGGAACAGATATCCACACTTATTCGGCACCTCAGGTACTTTTTTATGTCCATTCGAGGATTAACGTTTGTTTAAGAGGTGGAGAATGTAATGACCCGACCGGTCGTTTTGCTTTTTAGAACCCTGTTCCCCCAAATAAAACTTCTTGTGCTTGCTTTATCTGATTTACGACCTGTGGGGATGGTTGGTTCAGGTTTTGGAAGAGTTTTGGGTTGAAATAGACTCACTTGATTCTTTAAGATTTTCTTAAAAGGCTAAGTTTGACTTTGTTCAACATTTTTAGCCAACGGACCCAAATTTGTGTTTTGACAGTCCCGGAGGGTCCGTTGAAAAATATGGGACTTGAGCGTATGTCCGGAATCGAATTCCGAGGTCCCTAGCCCGAGTAATGAATTTTTATTGGAAATTGTTAAACTGAAATTCTAAGGATTTAAAGAAACTAAATAATGATGGATCACATGGGTATCAGGCTCGTATGTTGGTTTCGGAGCCCGGTACAGGTCCAATATAACATTTAAGACTTGCCCGCAAAATTTGGCATCAATCCGAGTAGTTTAAGTGCATTTCGGCTCGTTAGAGGAGAGTTAAGAACTTGAAGTTCATAAGTTTGATTTAATTGGTTTTAGGGGTGATTCTTAGATTTAGCATTGTTTCAGGCTTTCCGAAGGTTCGAGCAGGTCCGTTTCATGATTTCAAACTTGTCGGTATGTTCGGGCGGGGCCTGGGAGCCCCGAGCGTCAATCGGACGAGGCTCGAGTGAAGTTGGAAAAATTGGAGAAGTGTTGAAGCTTCAGTTCCTGTCATAACCGCACCTGCAGTTGGCTAACCGCAGAAGCGGTCCATCTCACGCAGATGCGGCCAAGCCAGGGCAGGCCCAAAATCGCAGAAGTGGCTATTCCTCCACAAAAGCGAAGCCGTAAAAGCGGCTAGCAACTCACAGATGCGGCCTAGCGGCCCAGGTGAAATTCTGCAGAAGCGGGCTCCCTTCCGCAGATGCGGTGGTCGCAGGTGCGGCCCAGGACCGCAGATGCGGAAATCGCTGAAGCAGTAAGCTTCATTTAATATGGGTTCTAAGTTATTTTTGCCATTTTTCACTCCTCCATTAGGCGATTTTAGAGCTTTTGAGAGAAGACTTCCACCTAGCATCTCGAGGTAAGTTTATCCCACATATTCCTAGTTTAATATTTGTGTCTTAGGTAGATTAAACACTAAGATTAAGGTAAAGTCATGGGGTTAGAGCAAAACCTAGGGTTTTGATAAAACTTAGATTTTTCCACGAAATTGGTTATGAAGCGAAGTAGAAATCATATATTATTGATCCTTAGGTTACAAAGAATTACTTTCTTCAAAAAAAATTCGGAATCCGGGAATGTGGGCCTGGGGTCGGATTTTAGGAAACTTGTGTTTAAGGTTGGAAAATTGCTTTAATAGTTAGAATGTGATCTTATGAGCTTGTATTGACTAGTTCTTACCCCATTTAACTAGTTTTGGATCGTTCGGTTCCAAATTGAGAGTTCGGGCTCGTTCTTGGTATTAGAAATGCACTTTGGAGCGAGGTGAGTCTCCTTTCTAACCTTGTAAGAGGGAATTGTCCCCATATGAGTAATAATTGTATAATTTGCCACTAAATGCGGGGGCTACGTACGCACTAGGTGACGAGAGTCCGTGCGTAATTACTATCATATTAATTATTCAGGTAGTTTAGGGCCCGTATCATACTATATTTACAAACGTTATATGTCTTCTTGCTAATGTGATCATTTAGGATATGCTAGAGAATTGGAAATGAACATAAGTGAACATATGTTATGTTGAACACTTGTATGAATTTATTTGAGTATAAATGTGCCTTCTTGTATTTTTCTGTTGATAATTGATATTTGTGGACTGGGCCGATCGCCTCGGTAGAAATAGATGCATCTATGGTTCGCGCCATTCGATCCTCTAGCAGTGCACAGTTTCTTTTATGTTGGATCGGGGTGTCGACCTCGGCATAACGTGCGCATGATATTTATGTGAATTATCATTGATGACTTGCCTNCATTCGACCCTCTGGCAGTGCACAGTTTCTTTTATGTTGGATTGGGCCGTCGACCTCGGCATAACGTGCGCATGATATTTATGTGAATTATCATTGATGACTTGCCTGATACATGGTTTGAAATGTAAAGGATTAACTGTGATATTAAAATGACATGACTTAGAAATCTTTATTTCAACTGCTATATAATTGTGACCATCATGCCTGGCATAACATCATATTATATTATTTGACCCTAGTAGGTATCAAGTTGACCTCTCGTCTCTACTTCTTCGAGATTAGACGGGATACTTACTGGATACATATTGTTTATGTACTCATGCTACGCTTCTGTACTTAATTGTACAGGCTCTGAGGCAGGTACATCTGGCTATCAGACCGGTGCGCGTCCCTGATCATAGTCTGAGACTTCCATAGTGAGCTACTTCCCTTCCTATGCCGATTAGTAGCTTGATGAAGTCTTTCTTACTTTTGATTGTCTATTCTATTTCAGACAGTAGTATAAATCTATTATTTTGTATATTCTACTAGTTACCCTTAGCTTGTGACACCAGGTTTTGGCACACACATTAGTAGACAGTTCTTTTGGGTTGTATAACTATTATTGAATATTGCTTATTATCACCTGTTTTAATTGCAAATTAAAAAAAATGTTGTTACTGCTTTGGTAAGTAAAATGAGAATTCACTAATATTTCCGCGTTGGCTTGCCTGATAACGGTGTTGGACGCCATCACGACCTAAGGTGAAATTGGGTCGTGACACCCTCTTCATTTAGGAATTTATGGAAGTATGACTACCATCCACATCTAATATGTGCCTCGTCCATTAATACTCTTCCATCCTTGTCTTTGATGCGTTTCACTTAGTCTATGTCACAGATCTTCCCGTCTCTCACTTTGGCTAGCATGTATAGCTTCATGTCCCCGTCTTTGTCCCTAAGTTTCTCATATAAGCGTCCAAACACTACGTCCCACTTCACCTTCTCATTAACTAAAATCACGCATTAATACTAATTAACCCAGAAGGTAACCTAACCAATAATTTAAAACTTAGATGTCAGAGCAAAATAAGTTTCATGGAGAGTATCCTTAGTAACTCTATGGTCTCTACTTCTAAGTACTTCATCAAAAGTATAAGAAATTTCTTTTTTGAAATATACAATTTTTCTGATCCTTAGTAACTCTCCAACCCTTGCACCATTTTCTTACACGAAAATAGTGCAAATTAACTCCAATCCATTACACTTACACCAAAAAAAATACTCCTTTTATATTCTTTTTTGTCTTCTTTATTGTATCATTATTTTTATTTAAATTTATTTTTTATTTTATAAAACAAATCCTTTCTTTTTCTTTTTTACATATTCATCCCATATACTTTATATTTCTTTCTTAAATAGCCATTTAATATAAAATTATTTTACACTATAAAATTTTAAATAATATAAATTATAATCATATATTATACATTATACTTACTAATGGATAATTTAAATAAAAATAAAATCATTTATAAGATATAATTAAATAAATATTACATTATGGTAAAATTTAGTCTAATTTTTATTGCTTCCATAAATGCTCTATTAATGCATTACATAGTGCAAAAGACATGGATATAAATGATAGAGCTTTGAAACTAAAAGAATTTAAAGAAGAAAATAAAATTTTATTGTCGAATTTAGATTCTATTGATGATCCAAATATTCGTGAATTTATTCGAAAACAACAAAAACGAATAATGGATAAAAAAAGTCAACAATTTCAACAGCCACAACCACAACAATCATCTGCCCCATACACTCTATATTTTAATGATATTGGTGGATCTAAAAGTGACCTACCAGAGTATTAGATTATTGTTGTAATTTTCTCATCCCATTATGTTATTTAATGTAATTTCAATTTTAATCTATGTGAGTCGCTACTGTATTAAATATTTATTTTTATGTTATTTAATTAACATTGTGTTATTTATTAACAACATATTATATTTTAGATTTGCACTTTTTAATTTTTTGATTGTTATATATTTTTATACAATTATAACTTATAATAAAATTAACTTATAATTTTATATAAAAATAAAATATACAAAAATTAATTTATAAAAATTGTACACTAAAATTAAAATATAAAATTAATATCATAAAGATAGTACATAAAAGTATATGTAATTACAACATTTATAATATGTTAAATTAAAAGTGTTATATAATAAAAGATAATAATAAAATATTGATAAATAGTAATGGCGTTGATGAATAATGTTACACCAAATTTGGTGCAACACTATTCATACACCAAGATAGTGTAAGAGATGGTAACACAAAATCTTACGCCAAAATAGCGTTTGACATCAAAAATAGCGTTAGGTTGGAGATGATCTTAGTAAAATTTTCGTGATCCTTAGTAATTCTATGGTCTCTCTATATATAAAGATATTATTAAAAATAAAAAATAAAAAATCTAAAATTATTTTTAAATATAAAGAGGTATTTCTTTCTAAACATACTAAATAAAAAAAGATTGTACATGATGAAATTCACTACATCCGCCATTTTAATTTAGGGGAGGTGATATTTTTGATTAAGCACGATTTTTTAAAAAAAGGATACGTAATACTTTTGAAATTTCTAGTTTAAAATAAATTATATATATATATTTATAATATATATATTTATAAATGTTTTTATTAAAATTAAAAGGGGAACTTTAAATAAGGATTGACATACAAATTTTAAAGGGAAGTATGACACACATTTTCGGCACGGACCAATAAATACTAAGTAGTCAAAGATTAGCTTTGTTTTTCAACTGGATATCTGCTTGATTGTCCTTTCTTGAAGTTGAACTCTTTCTTTGTTAGTTTTTTGTATTTTTAGACACACATCCGAAAGCATGTGCGCAGCTACTATATAGGTTGAAAGGGTCTTTGTACTCTGGGGTTCTTGTTCTTATCTAAAACTGCAGCCAATTTCAAGTAGAGTTTTTCACTGCTAGAGGATTTTTCTGATCTGGGGTTGGTGAGTTTGAGGTGAAGTAACTTTTTATTGATCTAACCAGGTACTTGAATTTGAATAGAGGAGTGAACTTTGAAGTACTATTGGGGGAGAGTTGGCCATAAAAGTCAAAGCCCGTGAGTTAGTGCTTGTGGTTGAAATTTAATGCTCAAAAGCTGAAGGCGAAAAGCTAGTTGCCTAGTTAGGCAAATTCAAGACGAAATAGATAGATTTTGATCTAAAGTTGAGTGTTTTTCCTATCGCTGGTTCAGCGCTAGAAGCAGGACTCGAGTTTTTAGGTAAATGGGGAGTAATTTGAATATAAAGAACTATGGAAATGAGCCACCGGGGGAGAGTGGAAGTGGTGGTGCTGGTGTTCCATTGGTGCGGCAGTCGTCTGTTTATTCACTGACTTTTGATGAGTTTCTGAGAGGGAGTGGAAAGGATTTTGGGTCAATGAACATGGATGAGTTGTTAAAGAACATATGGAGTGCAGAAGAGAGTCAGAACATGGGAACTTCTGGGGTTGGTGGACAAGAAGTGGGTGTTCCAGGTGGGAATTTACAGAGGCAAGGGTCTTTAACTTTACCGAGGACACTGAGTCAGAAGACTGTTGATGAAGTGTGGAGGGATATGTCAAAAGAGTATTGTAGTGGAAAGGATGGAAATGGTGATGTGGGGTTATCGAACATGCCTCGTAGGCAACAGACTTTAGGAGAGATGACACTTGAAGATTTCTTGGTTAGAGCTGGTGTTGTGAGAGAAGATGCACAGTTGGCTGCAAAAGCTAGTAATGTTGGGGTCTTTGGTGATATGTCACATGCTGGACATAGTCTTGGAGTGGGATTTGGATATCAACAGAGCAATGGGAATACAGCTATGGTGGCTAGTAGGAACATCGATAATAATAGTGGAATTGGTGTTCAGTCCGGTAATTTACCACTGAATGTGAATGGGATCATATCTGTGCAACAACAGCAAGGAACAATGCAACTGCAGCAGCAGCCACAGCAACAGCAACAACAGCAGCAGCAACCCCTTTTTCCTAAGCAACCTGGTTTGGCTTATGGTGCTCCCATGGCCATCCCAACTAGTGGTCAATTAGGCAGTCCAGGGATGAGGGGTGGGATTGTTGGTATTTCTGATCCAGCACTTGGTAGTAGTTTGGTTCAAACTGCTGCTTTGACGGGTGGAGGAATGAATATGGTTGGTTTTGGAGCTGGAGGTGTAACTGGTGCAACAGGATCTCCAGCAGTTTCATCAGATGGACTTGGGAAGAGTAATGGAGATACATCTTCGATATCTCCAGTACCTTATGTCTTTAGTGGTGGTTTAAGGGGCAGGAAAGGCGGTGCTGTGGAGAAAGTTGTTGAAAGGAGGCAGAGGAGAATGATAAAAAATAGAGAGTCTGCTGCAAGATCTAGAGCTCGGAAGCAGGTAATATCCCTTGGATCTTACATATAGGCTCAAAGCTTTTAATGTCTCCATGCATGTGTATACCTAGCTTACTTGGAAGGGAATTGGTATGTGATCTATTCCCACCAAGTGTATGCTAGAGCCCAATAAATCTGCTCTTTAATAGTTCATAGTGAAATTTCTGTCATTTACCCAGGATTTAGTCAATATATTTCTGCAACATCGGTGGTTTTTTTCACTTGTTGAAGTGTATATTTTCACCTAATCTCTTCAAGATTATAAATTGAGATGCGTGGGACTGGTAGATATTTTGTATGATGATGATATGTGTTGAGTTTAAATGGAGAAATGAGGATTCATATAGCCAATCCCAACTTGTTTGGGACTGAGGCGTTGTTGTTGTTACATGGGACTGGTATGTGTGTCTTGGGAAAGCTTATGTATCATCATTTCACTGGCATGGGCGAACCAATGCTTGTTCATTTTGTTCTTTCGCAACTACTTTGTGATCCAGTTGAGAGAAAACATACCCCTCGAGTTGATCAGAACAGTTCATTATGCTTCTATCTTATTCGATTCATAATTAAGCTGTCACAGAACTTGCTTACCCAATATTTTTGAACTTCCTGTTTTGCTGACCATATGCAACTTCCTGTTTTGCTAGCCATATGCCGTATCCATATATGGTGCATTTGATGGATATAACTCATTCATCCATTCTGCTGAAACTAAATTTACTCTCTATGCAAATCATGTAAAAGAAATTGTCTGTGGAGGGTTATTTCTCTTCAACCACCAAAAATCCAGAAGGGAAAGATGCATGTTCCTGGACAAGGAATGTTATCATTTTCTCCTCTGGTGTGTATAAAAGTTTGCCAATCAAACGTTTCGTCCTAATTGTTGTTAGGGGCTCTGGGGCTGTGATAAATGGCTTTTAGTTCCTTGAGCCCACCATTACATGGATATAGTTATGAGCTAGGCAACAAGTCATAGGATAGAGTGATTTTACAGCAAACAAGACATGGTATAAAGTGATTTGCATGGCATGGATTGTTGGATTTTTATGGCAAAACAAGACATGGGATGTGGGTTTTTATGGAAAATGGAACCGAAAGATAGTTGAAACATATGGAATAGTGGGAAATTTTGACAATACATGGTTAGACAAAAGATAGAGGAAAAATATGAGATAGTGGAAAATTTTGAGAAGACATAGTTAGACAAAACATGGGGGTCTTGAAAGAAAGGCTTTGGAGTTTAATGAGAAAATTATGTTATGATAAAAAAGGATTTGTAAACTTGTGAAATCTTCTTTCTTTTCTTTGAACCTTGTTTTATTTTTCAACCTCCTTTTTTCTGATCTTGTGAAACATCTTTGTGCTATGATGGTTCTTCTTCCATTTAATTTGCTCATTGTTCTTTCCTTCCTTCTGCTGAAGTATTGGTTGACAAGTTTAATCTGATCTCAACAATTTCTGCTGGATCATTTTTGTTTGAAGTCTTGAAAATTTTTGTGAGATGCATTGTACTCCTTAAAACTTGCCAATTCATGATGAATCCTCATTACTAGAACTTTTATTTATTTCATGCCCCAACCTTGGAGAGCGCAACCGGCACTCAGCCGAGATATCCCAGTCAAGCAAGCCTACTTGATGCCTCTTACCCAACCTTACCCAAGAATTATTTGAGAATTAATAACAAGAGATAGACATGTGAACAAGATAAAGTGTGCAACATCATCTTTCATTACTTAAAGGGGGCTTCATTTACAATTTCCGAAAGATTACACATTTATATTAAAAAGTGGAACATGCGATAACTACAACATTTATAGTCTATTTTCCAAATCAAAACACAACCCACACTATGTCTACAGAGCCTCTAAATGGATTAGAAGAGTAGTATGAAAGTGTTGGTGGCAAGGCCCTGGCTATACCTCAAAATACAATGTATAAGGATCAAAAGACACAAGGCCCCGAGAGGAAGTGGGGTTCACCAAGTCAACTTAGAAGAGGGTGTACTGCTAGCAATGATCGATGCCGCCTGCTGTGGAACCACCTGCATTCATTAAAGATACAGCATCCCCGGCACAAGAGACGTTAGTACACATGGAATAGTACTAGTATATAAAGCTAAACACCCTCTCATGGAATGGGATGCCAACATAATATGAGAGAAATATGGAAACATTTAGATAATTCAATAATATTTAAATGCCAAGTTAAAACAAAATAAGGCCTCAAGTAAACAATTCCATTTTTGGTTTGGAGATCCTTAGTACCAAACACCACCATGCCCATGGCATGGAGTCCGATCACTGCCCAACCGGCTAAGCCATCTCTCCCCAAAGTATGAGGATTGACATAGAAACACAACACCATCATGTGCGCGACATGGCATCCGATCTCCGCCCAATCGGCTAAGTCGTCTCACCACAATGCTGTGTGGGTCGACATTGTCCTTGCTGGCTATCAACTCATCCCAATCAAGGGGAATAATCTCAATATAGTATAATGGGAACTTGTTCCTCAATCAATCCTTACACCGGCAGGTGAAGTTTCAGGCTTGGGCATTATTAACCCAGCCTTCCTCGGTGACCTAATGACAATCGCAAAAACATTTATCATAAAAAGGATCATATACTTTTCATAACCTTTCATACTTCCTTTCATTTTCAGTGGCACTCTTGGCCTCATATGTAAATCATCATTTTTGGCATGATGGCCGCATTTCATATTTCATACTTTCTTTCTTTCATTACCTCTTCAAGGATCATCTTAAAACATTTAAAGGTATTTGAAACATTGAGAAAAGAATCATATCTTCAGCTCATAAGCATATAAGAATTCAAAACACATTGGGAATAGGCATAAAAGAGGAGCATAACGTTTTACAATTAGAATATGAATCAAGTCATAAGTCTTTGGATAAGCTACCATGGAACAAACTGAAATGATGGAAATAGGAACTTGATCAAACCATAACCGAAGTCTTTCGTGGAATCCGATTCTACAGAAAGAGTTCAGCCAACATACCTCAATGAGCTTTCCTTAAAATTACTACAATGTTCCAAAACTCCTAGCGATTTCAATCTTTAGAGACATAACAAAATCGAACCATAATTAGGAGGGTGCCCATAGGTTCATCTCACTTCGGCATTTCATCAAACACTAGATGTGCAAATTTGATTACAAGGTCCTATGGTGGTAATCCTTCACCCCACAACCAATTCCCACATCAATAGCTCACCAATATTAGTTCAACAACCTCCCCACCTTCTCGATTGGTACATGCATGCACAAATGACCAACTCATACTCTCATGAATTATACTTCCCACTACCTATATTCAGCCCAACTTCGGAATTGAGAGCTAGGGGTAGAACCTAACCTATTAGAAGAAAACCTTGTGTGTTCTCCGCTTGAATTTCCAAAGCTTGATCAAAGAGTGGAGTGTTGAAGTGATTGAGCTTCACCTTTTCTCCCTAGCTAGCTCTCACCTCTCTCTAAAATGCTTGATTTTTGCCTTCAAAATGAGCCTCAATGGATTTAATCAAAATAGGGTCGGATTATAAAATACACGAAATGGACGTTTTGAACCCAATCTGCGATCGGAGAATGCACTGCAGAACATGTTTGCGGTTTGCGAAGGGGACCTCGAAATCGTCCTCCAAAATTGGGCTAGCCTGGCCTAGTTTGCAACAGATTTGCTGTTCGCTGATCAGTTATGCGACCACATAACGCACCGCGAAATCTCCCTCCGAAAATTCTCATGTTGATTCTGCGACGAATGTGCGGCCTGCGAAACGGTTATGCAGTCGCATAATGGACCACGGAATGACCTTCAAAATAAGTTTCACCTGGTTCACTCTGCGACGGATCTGTGGCCAGCAGAATAGTTCTGCGGTCGCATAGTGGACCGCTATAACGCCATGTTCTGCAAAAATTTCCACCAACTCCACAATGCATTGCACAACCCTCGCCGCGAAATTTTCTACAACTTTCCGACACGTTTGCCTACTTCGGCACCATAAAACCTTAAATTCCTTGACGAAATTTTACGGGGTCTTACAATTTATTTTGGTAATGATGATGATATGAGTGGAGCTCAATGACGGAATGACGATTCATATCGCAGACCCCAACTTGTTTGGGACTGACGTGTAGTTGTTGTTTGCATTGTACTCCTTAATGAGTCGTTTGGTATAAGGTATAAGAAGGTATAAGGGTGGTATAAAAATTTAATACCACCTTAATACTTTGTTTGGTTAGCAAACCAGGTATAAGTTATCCCGGTGTTAATTTTAACACTGGGATACCTTATACCTTATAGAAGGTGGGGTAATTAGCACCGGTATAATTTATACCTTCTTTTTAGAAATTATGCAATTGTCATTCTTAATACAACATACCAAACAATGAATAAACAACAATCCCAGCATAACTAATCCCAGCATAACGTATCCCAATATAACTTATACCAGCATAACTTATACCGGTATAAATCGTTTTCCAACCAAACGACCCCTAAGTGTTTCTTTTACATTTCCCGATGAGGATGGCTCGAAGTATAATTCCATCTTCTTTTTTCTTTTGGCCATATCTCATTTACGATGCACCTATTTTGTTGGAAGATTGTTCTTTGAGCTTCATAATATTCTTCTTCCAACTTTCAGCACTGGGAGGTGGTAGAGTTTCAAAGTTTGATCGAGTTACTCCACAGACAAAGTACACTGTACACCAGATGATAGTTTTGATGTTTGGAGGTGAGGGTTGGAGAATAATAGAGTGTTCTCTGTTAAGTCCACATGGAAAGCTTTTGACTAGGAAGGAAGTTGTCTTTCCACAGTTCAATTTGGATCCCAAATATTCCAAGAAAGGTCTGCTTTTTCGCATGATTAGCAATAAGAACAGTGATTTTCACGGATGAACACTTGAGAAAAAGGAAGGTTAATTATGTTAGTTGGTGCTTTATGTGTAAGGTTTCGGGTGAAGACGTCGATCACTTACTCATATACTGTCCGGTAGCATCGAGATTGTGGTGGGAAATGTTAAGATGGTTTGGTATATATTGGGTGATGACAGGCACCATGAAGGAGTTAATGTTCTGCTGGAATAATGGTAGAAAGAGACGACACACGGTGTGGAAGATTGCGCTGCTAATGCTTATGTGGGTTGTTTGGAAGGATAGAAATAGGAGAATTTTTTAGGGTGTTGAGATGATTGTTGTACAGTTACGCGTAGCCTCTTTTCCTTCATTTCTTTTTGGTGCGCCCAGTGGGTTCCTGAATATATAGAAGATTGGGTGTCGTTCATAGAAAATCATCTATGTTTATAAGTTTCTACATTGTTTTGGGTATACTTCTTGTGTACGAGCACGTTTTGCCCAAACGTTAATAAAATCTTATTACTCAAAAAATATCTTCTTCCAAATCCAAGATCATGACTGACAATCGCAACTAAAATGACACTGAATGCATTGCTTAGACAACGCCACCAACAACAACAACGACCCAGTAAATCCCACTAGTGGGGTCTGGGGAGGGTAGTGTGTACGCAGACCTTATCCCTATTCCGAGGGAGTAGTGCTTAGACAACATCATTGACAATATTTATTGGCCTATGAAACATAAATGTTTTGCATCCAGGGGAATATGTAAAATAATGACCCCCATAT